AAAAAAAAAAAAAAAAGAGCTGCTCCATGAGTACATGGTGTGGTCTGGCAGGACAAGAGTTATCTGAAAGAGAAGTAAATTCTGCCCATGAGCTCCAACCTTTCTGTTCAATTTACTGTTAAAGGAGTCCTAGTGTAACTCGTACACAGACATCACAGTCGCTGCCCAAACTTGAATAAACTAAACAAAGGTGCGTACAACTGGGTGTTCTGCAGTTACTCTACAGCTAGACACATCTGCCACGTGAACCAAAAAGTCAAAATCATCCTTCTACTTGCTCCTGTCCCCATCCCTCCCCGAACAGATCAAGATTTACAAAGCCTTTGAACAAGCTCTTAATCTTGAGGATTGGGACTTAGGATGGCGCAGACCTAGGACAAAAACCAGGCAAAATGGGGCGTCAGGCAAGTAACGTAATTCAAGTTGGTCTCTTCATCCGGGAAGTGTGCACAGGACCACCCAACCCAGGGGTCAGAAAATTTTTTCTGTAAAGGGCCCGATAGTAAATATTTTCAGCTTTGCAGATCACAAGGTCCCTGTTACAACTACCCAACTCTGCTCTCGTAGTAGCCCGGAAGCAGCCATAGACAAGACGTAAATGAACAGACATGGCTCTATGCCAATAAAACTTGACTGACAAAAACAGAGGATCATTTGCTAATCCCTGACCTAATGCCCCTTGCTTATAAGGATTAAATGAGGTCATCTTTATAAAACGCTTCGTTCAGTGCCTGTCACAAAATAAATGCTTAGAAAATTCCAGTTGCTATTATTATTTTTATCCTGAGCACTCTTAAGTTTTTAAACACCTAAAAAAAAATAAAATTTAAAATTAAAAGCAATTTTACATTATATTATACTGGATAAGCTAAATGGTTTATTTTCAATTAAATAAAATCGATACATTATATATGCTCACCTTTCTTTCCCCAAAATAGGAAATCAAGTTTTTTTGTCATTTGGTCGATAATGTGCATTCCCCATAAAATTCTCATAGTTTCTCTTCTGTAGCATGCTGCTAGATAAGTGTTGATACGACACAGGCCTTTTTCCTGGTTGAAAAAAAGTGTAAAAGGGCATTCAGAATTAAGTTCAAGCAATTAGGTAAGACAGGTGTGTGTTGTTAGGGGTCAACTTTCAAAATTCCTAACCAATATTGTGATCAGAACCCAAGCAGCATCCACGTCGTGAAGTTATAGCTGCAGTGTTTCTAAGTTCCCTGAAGACATTTGTCAGCACAGAACTTTAAGTCACTCAAGCTAAAATTATTTAAGTACCAGGGTTATTACCAAGAGTTAAAAAGACAAAAGAAAATAGCGTAAAATATTTTGAACTTATATGCATCATAAACCAAAACTAAGTGGAAGAAAAGAAAAAATACCAATTCAAAAAAGGATTTCACTTGCAACACAAAGCCTTTTCTCTTCAAATAGAGACAAAATTTTGACGCATGTCCATTTTAAGGACCGTAGGGGGGAAATGGACGCTTTTAATCAAAAGGCAGCAAAAATTATTGTTTCATTACAATTTTTATAAAATTCACTGGAGTGTGTGAAAGCAATTGTTTTTTAATTTGCTATCTCTACCAGATCAATTGGCATCAAGCTATCTTTGATAGAGTGTTATCACCACACAGAATCTTTAATTTGAAATTAATACAAACTGAGAGGTTTTAATCGGGTTTGACTCCTCGGGGCAACAGAAACCCGCAGAGTTTATATCTAACAAAGGAAGGCGTGGTGGCTTAATCCACTTTGCCAAGTGGGACAGGTCCCCAGGACACTCTGATCTAGCTTCCAACGTGCACTTGTATGTGCCAGACACCTCTACGAAATGCTGCCATGAGGAGGCAGGGGCTTTAAAAACATTCCATGGAGAGAGCTCCAAAGTAATCCACAAGCATAACAATTCACATATATGGGGAAACAACATCGCTTTGAAAATTCCCTTAATATTTAACAAAGGCTCAACAAGCAGTATAACTCCAGACGTCCTACTATGGAAACTGCTCAAGATCGTTTCACCAGCAGTTCTTACACTGCCTGCTCCTGACAGGTCAAGGGTCTCCCCGCGGTATTTACTGGGCACCCCCTTGTACCCCCTGGGAGCGGCATGAGACAGGGCTGCGTGCACTTCTGAGTTATCTCAGAGGCGTCTCCTGCTCTGAAGGAGCTCAGCGTCTAGGAGGGGCGGTGAGACACGGACAGAAGCACCCAAACCCCAATTCCCAGGCGAGGCTGGGATCGAGTGTGGGCACACCACACACGTGCCAAGGAGGACAGCAGAGCGCGGCGCAGGGAGCTGAGCCGGGCCTCTCCGGGCCTCAGTGACACCCGACATCGCCCCAGCGGGGACAAGCACGGATCAGACCCCTGGTCCTCCACCTTTCTTTCCACCCCCACCCCACAGCAGCCACGCTAAACGAGAGAAATTCCACACTCAGGACGGAGAGCGGGCGCTGCGGGGGCGCCGCTGCCC